AGTGTGGAGTTCTTACCCCTTTTTTATAGGGCTAGGACTGGGGAGCAAAAAGCGCGGGTACAGAAGCGAGAAGCGAGCTGATTGGTTAGTTTAAATAAGGCTTGGGGTATTTCCCGGTCTTTTGGGGAACTTGAAACTGAGGTGGGACTTTCCAGAAACTGTTGTTAGTTTCGCTTTATCTGAGGACCATCTGTTCTTGGCCCTGAGCCGGGGCCCAGGTGCCTGACTACAGATATCCTGTTTGGCCCCTGTCCCAGTGTTATTCAGCCTTATTCTTTAATTAAACTTCCTTGTAACTTTTGAGAACTCAGCTCTGGTACTTTTCCATGCCTTGCAAAATGGCGTTACTGTAGCTAGCGTGCTAAGCCTTATGGTGGGGTCTTTCATTCCCCCCTCTTTCTGGAAACTGAATAAAATCTTTTATTCACGTGATTCCACTTCTTCTGGATCTATTGATTTGAGTTGGTGATACTGTTGGGTCAGAACCAGGGCCTGCACTACCGAAATTCTGTCTTTTACAAACTGGACCAAGCGGTTGAGAATACAGGGTCCGAAGAGTAGGATTAATAAAAGTACTATCAGAGGGCCCATAATGGTGGATATCAGGGTCGTGAACCATGGGGACCTGTTAAACAGTCCCTCAAACCACCCTTGTCCTGATTCGAACAATTTTTGTCTCTGGTTTAACCTTTCTCTTAGCTTTGCCATGCTATCTCTTACTACGCCAGTGTGGTCCGCGTAAAAACAGCATTCTTCTTTTAGGGCAGCACATAATCCTCCTTCTTTTAGGAACAGTAGATCTAATCCCCTCCGGTTCTGTAGGACCACCTCAGACAACGAGGTCAGAGACTTTTCTAGGGCACTGACTGATTTTTCTAAGGCCCCAAGGTCTGTATGTATGGCTGCCTGGAGCTGCTCGAATTGTTTGGTGGCCACTAGGGCTGTAGTCCCTGTTCCAACTCCTGCAGCTATGCCGCCCATAGTAAGTCCTCCCAACAGCAGGGCCAGAGTTAATGACACCGGCTCTCTTTTATATTTAGTTTTCTTTTCAAACTGGCCATAAACATAATTAGGGGAGTGGTAGGTTACCTTTGGCCAGAGTTCAACCAGGACACAGTAATCAGTGGTTAAGTTAAGCACAGTAGTAGATAGACAGGGAGTGAGCCCGGTGCTGCAAGCCCAAATGGTCCCGGCGGGAGAGGCCAAATAGTAGGACCCGTCGCTCGTCTTCTGGGTGGTATTACACAGGGCCTGATGGGTTTTGGGAACTGCTCCTATGCAGAGTCCCTGCCCGGTCACTTCGGACAGGGTCAGCTTGTGTTGGGAGGTCACGGAGCAGTTAGCCGGGGCAGAGGTATGGTTGGAGTAAGTACCTAGGACGGCCACCCCTTCGTAGTAGGGGGGTCCCGATACTAGACACAGCCAGCACTCTTGGGTTTTGTCGGGACTGGTGAGGTTGAGGGCTTGGTAGGCTCCTTCTACCAGGTTTAGCAGCCTGTCTCCCGTCCCAGGTTGTTGAGAAGGCGGGGGAGCCCCAGGCACCATAGAGGCCGCGCCTGAAGGAGGAGGACGAGGAGGCCTGGGGAGCATGATCTGCACGGGTTGGGAGGGGGGTAGCTGTTCAGTGATCACGGGATTAGGCCCAATGGGGACGCGGGGCCCTACATTGAGGACCTGGCGGGTCAGAGAGAACAGGGTCACCGGGTCGGCCCCAGTGGATCGATACAGTCTTAGTCCCCATGTTTTGGGGGCATCCCAGCTGGCCCTTTTACCCGCGTCAGTGAATTCTAGGACTAGGGGGTTGCATCGACCCCCCGGTGTGGCACCCTGGATGCTACCGGAGCCCACTGAGGAATCAAAACAGGGGCCCTGACCCTTAGGAGTGTTTCCTCGCTTAAGGGAAATTAGGTCCCATGATGATGATGGCTTCCAGTATGCCTGTCCAGTGGTCTCACATCCCCATTTGCCACAGTAGCCCTCTCTCGGCCCTCCACACCCTGTTAATACAGTATGACCGGGGCAAACATAGAAATCATATAGTCTTGTCCTTTTTCTTCCCCCGGGAGAGCGGCAACCATCTCCAATATCGGGTTCCGGGTCATCCCAGTTGTCTCCAACTAAATCACACAAGTCAAAATATAGTTTAGGGAAAGTGTCTGTCATCGTCCCCAGGAGGGAGGTAGCATTAGCTGTTTGTCCTGTCATTAGGTTGGTAATTTTCCAAGTGACATTAAAGACCTGGTGAGGGCTGTCACGTTGTACTGAGGCTCCTGCCCTCACCAAGATCCCCATAATTATCAGGGGGCCCCACGGGTTAATCTTATCTTTAAGGGGTTTTGAGAACGCTGGACTTTCCATGCTGTTCCGGCCGGAGGAGTTGTCGCCGCCTTTACGTGAGCGGCGTGTATCCACGCAGAGATGCCGTCTACTTTGAGAGCGGTGGGGGTTGTCAGCAGGACGGTGTAGGGTCCTTTCCAGCGAGGTTCTAAGTTCTTAGTCTGGTGCCGGCGTACCCACACGGCGTCACCGACACGGAAGGGGTGTGGTATCACTGGCTGATCTAGCTGGTCCTGATAAGCAGCGGCCAGCGGCTTCCAGACCTCTTGTTGTACTGCTTGGAGGGCCTGTAAGTGAGCT